TTCATGGCATTTTAATATTCTTCTATATGGACATACCATACAGTTTTTTTTTAAGTTTTTACTTAAATTCTAGTTAGTTAACATACAGTATAATATAAATTTCAGGTGTACAATTTAGTGATTCAACACTTACATACAACACCTGGTGCTCATCACCCTGCATAATCCCCATCACCTATTTGACTCATCCCCCCATCCATCTCTCCTGTGGTAACTAACAGTTTGTTCTCTATAGTTAAGCGACTGTTTCTTGGTTTGCAATCATTCTTTCAATTTAGACATTTAGGTTACCTCTGTTTTTTTTTTTCTAATACAAATTACACTTGAATAAATACTGTTATGCACAGATTTATATTTTTTGACAATAAGGAAAACTGTTTTTCCTGGAGATTTTATAAGTCACTTGAATTATTTTTCCATGATTTATTCACCTAAAGAACTTGTATATATCTTATTAATCTCTATAAGCTCTTCATATATTAAAGATATTAATCTCTTCTACTATTACTGCAAATATTGCATATCACATTATCATTTTGCCTTAAAAAATTTTTTTTAACAGGGGCACATGGGTGGCTCAGTTGGTTGAGTATCCGACTCCTGATTTCAACTCAGCTCATGATCCCAGGATTGGGGGATCAAGCCCCACATTGGGCTCAGCACTGAGTGTGGAGCCTCCTTAAGCTTCTCTCTCTCTCTCTCTCTCTCTCTCTCCATCCCTCTCCCCCATGCTTCCTCTCTCTTAAAAATAAAAAGAAATTAAAATATAACAATTTTATATGGAACCAAACCCTTCTATTTTCTTTTGGCTCATCTTCCACTGTTTTAATGCTCAGAGAATCCTTCCTCTTCTTAAGATCTGATGAATATTTAAAGTTCCAAGACTTTTAGCCCATACCACTGATCAATTTATCAATCCTTGTACCATTACCACACTTTGCTTGCTCTAGGTTTCCCTTCACCAGACTTATTTTCCACAATATTATCTTATTATTAATGTCTGTAAATCTATAATACTATTTCATTCATAAAATGTATAAATTGTCTTATCTTTTTATCAGTCTAATGATGACTTTATAAACTCTCAATTTTTTTTCAAGGAACCAACCAATTGGCTTTGTCAATTTTCTCTATTGCTTGTTTTCTATTTCATTAATGTCTCTTATCCCCCTTATTTTGCCATTCTATTTACTTTGGGCTTATTTTGTTCTTCCTTTTCTAGATTTTCAAGGTGAAAACTTACATCACTGATTTTAGACCTTTCTTCTTTTCCATTAATTGAATTATTTAAATATAAACTAAATTAGTTAAAGCTATGGTTTTGTTCTGGTTTGGGCAACATCCTACAATTTTGATACACTGAATTTTTCATAATCATTTCAAAATCTTTTCTAATTTCTTTCATGATTTCTTCTTTGGCCTACGACCTAATTATTCAGGTTTTTCCTTCTACCTTATTATTGATTTCTAATTTAATTATATTGTGAGCAGACAATGTACTCTGTATGATTTCAATCCTTTTAAATTATTAAGACTCATTTTATGGTTCAGAACATGGTCTTGGTGAATGTACCATTAGCACTTGAAAAGAATATAGAGGCACACCTCAGAAATATGAGTTTAGTTCCAGACCATCACAAAAATGTATCACAATAAAGCAAGCCGAAAGAATTTTTTGGTTTCCCAATGCATATAAAAGTTGTGTTTACACTATACTGTAATCTAGTAAGTGTGCAATAACATTATGTCTAAAAAATGCACATAAATTTTAAAATACCATACTTTATTGCTAAAAAAATGCTAACCTTCATCTGAGCTTTCAGTGAGTTGTAATTACTGATCATAGACCACCATAACAAATAGTAATGAAAAAGTTTGAAATATTGTCAGAATTACCAAAATGTGACACAGAGAAAAAAGTGAGCAAATGCTGTTGGAAAAATGATGCTAGCAGACTTGCCTGACACAGGGTTACCACAAACCTTTACAGGAAAGCAGTATCTGCAAAGTACAATAAAACAAGGTATGCCTGCATAAGCTGCAGTTGCTGGATGTGTTGTTCTATAAATGTCAGGTCAAGAGGGTTGATGGTGTTGTTCAGATTTTATAGATCTTTATTGATTATGTTGTCTAATTCAATCAATTGCTTAGAGGGGGTTTTTTATTAAAAATCGCCAACTAAGTTTGTGTTTTTTTCTATTTCTCCATTTAATTAAGTCAATTTTGTTTCTTAATATTTTTTATAGTTAATATACAATGTTATATTAGTTTTGGGTGTACAACTTAGTGAATTGACAAGTTTATACATTATGCTATGTTCATCACATGTACAGCTATCATCTGTCCCATGACATTGCCATTACAGTAACATTGACTTCCTTATGCTCTGCTTTTGTTTCTGTATTTTGAAGTTGTCATTAGGCACATACACATTTGTCATTGTTGTATCTTCCTAGAGAACTGGCCCTTTTGTCCTTAAGAAATGCCCTTCATGATCTCTAGCAATATTCTCTGTCTTGAAGATTATCTAAAATGATGTAAGTATAGCCGTTGTGACCTTCTCTCACTTAGTTTTTATGATATATCTTTTTCCATTCATTTACTTTCAACCAGTTTTTATCTTTATATTTAAAGTATATTTCCATTACCCATTTATCTCTAATTAAGAGTCTATTTTGGGGGCGCCTGGGTGGCTCCGTCGGTTAAGCGTCCGACTTCGGCTCAGGTCATGATCTCGCGGTCTGTGAGTTCAAGCCCCGCATCGGGCTCTGTGCTGACAGCTCAGAGCCTGGAGCCTGTTTCAGATTCTGTGTCTCCCTCTCTCTCTGCCCCTCCCCTGCTCATGCTCTGTCTCTCTCTGTCTCAAAAATAAATAAACGTTAAAAAAAAAAATTAAAAAAAAAAAG